GCGCCGTATGGGTGCCGGGAGTCCTTAGCCTCCTTCCTTGCTACCAGTTTGCATGCCATCGGCACCGGTGCGCTGTGCACGGAGGAGGAGGCACTCGGCACAGGCTCCACTGAGCCGGGGTCGGACTGCGGGCGGAGGGCTGTCTCCATGAGAATTCTGAGTCTCTGCTTGCAATCCTTAAGGGTCCTTGACCGAAACCCTTTGCAAATGTAGTACTTGTCCTTTTGGTGACTCTCACCAAGGCACTTCAAACAAGAAGTGTGCAGGTCGCTCTTTGGCATCAATTTACTGCAAACTTCACACGCTTTGAACCCTGGCGACCAAGGCATGCCCTGGTGTTGTGGGACGAAACGGGGGACAGAGGGGGAACCCCCGCAACAGAAACATAGAGAAACTACTAAAACTGCTAATACTATTAACTAAGAATCTATATACAAATGACAGTAGGACACTGCTAGAGGTGCTTGCAGAAGCAAGAGCGCAGGAAGTTCCAGCTAGCCATCAGCGGCAGTAAGAAGGAACTGAGCTGGGGGGAGGGGGGAGGCGGGGCGGGTCGGCAGGGTCCTATACTGGGCATCATGAAGGCACAAGCCCAGGGGGCATCCAGGCCGACCCTACAGATACTGCTAGGGGAAAAGTCTTCTGGCTGTTGTGCACACGGCGCGCAAACACCTGATTGGAATTGACATGAACAAGCACTCCAAGAACTCCTGGATATCTGCCCAAAGCAGAGGGAAGCACGCTGTGCAGAGCAACTGCTCCTGTCCCTTCCCCACGTGCGCGCACACACACACACGCTAGCTACAGAGCATAGATCACACAGTCACAGGGCCTGTTGCATTCTATCCTGAACAAGGGATTGAAATGAAATCTGTTTCAAAAGCTTTTCCTCAGTTTCATTTTATGTAGCAGAAAGTAGCCTGTGCACCAGTTTGTAAGCTACTTTTGGATCATTTGTATAAAAGGTACTATGTAAACCTAAGGCATTAGCAATGGAACTAAAGTGTGTTTTTTCCATTTGGAATCCTCCTTAGCCAATCACTCAATTTCTCCTTTCCATTTTATAATCTTCAATTTAAAAAGAACAAAACAACAAAACACTTCACCTAACTGCTGACGGATTGTTTGAAACTTTTTCCCTAAATTCTCATTGAACTAGATATACATTTCAAAATCACAAGACTGCTGAAGGATTCCTTTACTGACTACAGTGCCTGTCCATCAAACTTTGGTGCTATCTTCAAGCTATCCATATTTGCCAACTTGCTTTTTAAAAAACAAATAAATAATTAAATGTATACCAGCCATAGCTGTGATTATATTTTCAGCAGCAGAAGCTCAAAATGAGAAACAGGCACTTAATAAACTATGGTATATAGTTATGCCTGATAAACCTGTTTGTCATTAATATTAATGAACAAACATCTGGATAAATAAAAGATTTATTTTATCTCTATTCTCCAACTTTATGTAATGAATATGAAGATGACTTTGGAGGAAATTAACATTTATTCATTCTCTTGGCAGTAGACTTTTCTGGTTTTATTTTGTTTGTTTTATCAGTTGTTACTGACGTACAATAAAAGTGCATTACATTTTTCAGTTGTACAATCATATCAGGAAGAAGAAAATATTATGCAGTACTAAGTATCGGATCAAAAATTTTGAAATAAAATGGATATATCCTGCTCCGTATTTTCCAGACGCTAATAAAATTAGTTCAAAGTTTCCAGAAATTTCCTCATGATTGGTCTTTCTAAGCACTTAAGTTTCTATCTGAAGTGGACTAAAGTGGCATTTTGACATTGAATTTGTGGAGAAAGACCCAGAATGAGCACATGGTCATAGGAAAAATATTGTCCAGATGACTGTTCAGTGTGGAACTCTGACAACATTTTAGGAAGGAATCCAGGACCAAACACCCCACCCACTTCCTCTCCCCTTAGTTAATTTAAGTTAAGGTTGAGCACACATAGCACTAAAGAACTTCGGAAGAATATTGGTTTGGTTTTAACAGCAAAAAAAAAAAAAAGCATTAGCATTTAGGCCAACAGCTCCACCATACATTAAAGAAGAGCAGCCTACATTCCAATTATATTACTAGAAAATTGTTATATATCTTGTTTAAACATTCTGAACAACATAAAAGTCTGACATACCAATTAAGCTTCTGGAATATTAAGCTTTGTTATGTTTTACCACTATCAGCATTTCAATGTTAAATACCAATTACAAACAAACCCTCAATACAAACTTTTCATAGAATCATACATAGAATATCAGGGTTATACGGGACCTCAGGAGGTCATCTAGTCCAACCCACTTCTCAAAGCAGGACCAATCCCCAGACAGATTTTTGCCCCAGATCCCTAAATGGCCCCCTCAAAAATTGAACTCACAACCCTGGGTTTAGCAGGCCAATGCTCAAACCACTGAGCTATCCCTCCCCTTTTTGTCCACATTCACGTCACACAAACCCAAAGAACTTAGTTATGAAGCTTTAAATGTGGGGGAAACAATTCTTATTTATATATCTTACTGAAAGAAAATTGTGGAGCACAATATTAAAGAGAAATGAAGCCTTATGCTGACAAGAGATTGTGTTTGTTTCAATATTTGCTTCAGTTACTAGTTGCACAGTTAATTGTCATATGGGAAACATGCATAAACACATCCATGTTTATGCCACACAACTGAATATTTCTAAAGGTGATTATGATGTCCAAAGAGCCAACCAACTGCTGAATAATTCAGAATACCACGTGATCTACCCTAGTATCCTGAAAAAGGCAACACCTTCAAGATTCTGTCAAAGCTTAGCACATTTAGCTTTTTCCTCCTCTGTCCTATCAGCAAAGCTCTCCCATTTTTTGATGTGAACAAGGAATTTTTTTAAGTCAGTTTAATTGCCCTACATCTGTCAGCAATCCAGACTTGGTAAGCTTCAAAACTCTGGAAGTGTCACAGCATACATGATTCTAGTAAGATTAAACAGATTATTTTCTTATAATGAGAGGCTGCTTAAGGCAAATAAAGACAGTATACTATTTTCACTCTATCCCCACCTTATGATTAGAAAAGGAACTTCCATCCATGCTGAAAAAATGAGGTTCACTGTCTGTGCATTTCTGAAATGTATTGCCATATATTAGTAATCCCATACACATTCACTGGGGAATAAGGGTCATCATAATGAGACATAATATGCATCGTAGAATTTGAAATTTAAAATTTCACTCTTGCAAATAGTCATGCATGTAAGTAACTTTATGCAGGAGCAGTGTTATTGAGTTCAGTGGGACAAAGTGTGTCAAGTTAAGCACGTGTGTGTTTTTTGGATCACAGCCTAAGGCTTAAATGTGAACAGATACAAGTTTGGACTAGAATGGGAAGGTAATCAGTTAGTAAAGTATGAGATAATTAATATACTATTCATACACTTAGTAGTGTTTAGAACTACCTGAAATTCTATTTAAAAAGTGTTAGAGAATATTACTGGATGATTTAAACAATCAGTTAAGAAATGCTAAAATTAATTTTGCACATACAATATCATATCAAAATTTTCCTAAGTACCTGCAATGTCTTATAATTAGTTTAAACTTATAATAATTTCGTAATAAGCCAGTACAGCACTCCCCAAGCAAAATGGCTGTTAATTGATGACAGGCAGGGTGCTCTGCCTCAGTTCAGTGCACTTATACAGCTTGGTAATAATTGCCTGTGCTCTAAAGAACTAGATTGGTCACTTATGCCCTTTCTTACTCCTTGCAACTGGGAAGAGGACTGAGTACATACACACCAGATCAATGGTTGTTTACAGGATCCTTAGAATCTGATGCCTGAGCCTTTGTGCTGCAAGCCCCAGGGAAATTCTTGCAGGGAAAAAGTCTTGTTGCTTGCTGAGTATTCCTATATTTTTGTACATTTCTCAAGATACTTACTTGCCATGATTGAAAAATCCCATGCAGAGTTACCTTTAAAGAAGGGAAAATATTTACCTAACTTTTCTTCCTTGAAGATATTCTCTAACAGGATTCTTGCACAACCACACACCTCTTCTCAGGGTACGTCTACAGTACTCGCCGGATTGGCAGGCAGTGATCGATCCAGCGGGGGTCGATTTATCACATCTAGATTAGATGCGATAAATCGACCAAGCGCTCTCCCATTTTCTGAACTGCACCCAGGGAAGCTGTCCTGATGGTAGGCAAAAGATACATGGCAGCTGACAAAATACTAGAAAACTTAGTTTTGACTTAGACCTTTTCTAATAAGGTCTTACTAAGGCATACTGGATCCATATCCCTCCATTCATTCCCTCTGCTTCCTTCATGACTTACTGTCTCCTCAGCTTTCCCTCTCCTACACATCCTCCCCCTCACTTTCATTGTGGGTGTGAATATAAAGGAGAGGAAAAGGAGAGACGGAGGAGTCCAAGCACTGGAGCACCTTCTCTTCCCACCCACCAACTAGTGGCACTGAAAGTGGGTAGGGCAAGAGGGAGCCCTTCAGCATCTTTCCTCTTCCCGTCTCCATCCTCAGCTGGTGGTACCAGAGCATAGAAGAGTCTCTCTTCGCCTGCCCCAGTGGCACAGGAAGTTGAATGGTAGAGGGAGAGCCATAGAGCATCTCTCCCATCTTTCTCCCCATCCACAAGCTAATGGTACTGAAGAGCAAGAACATAAAAGGAAATAACTGAACCTGACAGAATTCATCTCCCCTCTCTGTATACAGTTATGGATAAAACTTTTAAACACTCCTGAAGAGCAGTTTAGATATTTTGCCATAAGAATACACCAAATTGTACTGGAATGCAGGATTTAAAATATAGTAAGAGGATGCTATTTGTACAGTATATGCATTTGGATTTAAATTGTACTACAATTTGCTTAAATAGATCTGAATATTTTCATTTGGTATAATTCCTGTTCGATTTATCTTTGCATACTTTGAGTCCTGTTAATATATTAACAGTATAAGACAATTCAACACAACCATGTTGTACAAAAAGCCTTTATTTTTTTCTGTTCCATGAAAAATAATTAACTGATATGCACACATGAAGCACTGTTAACTAATGTTACATAAATCAAAGTAACACAAAAGAACAAAGTGTTATTGTACGAAAGAATAAGATACAAGTCTACATTTTAAAAAGTTTAGTTTCATAAGGATTCCAGGCACTTGAAATTGAAGCACTATATATGTAAAATACATACAACATATCCACACATCACTGAGATTCAACCCAGAGAAAAGAAGGGTACAGAGAGCAGCATAGTATCCATGCCTAGCTGATCCTTGATGCCACTTTTAGGTCTAATTTCAAGCATAGCAATTGATGTCAGTTGTAATGGTTGTTTTTATGAAGTGCACCTGTCCACAAGGACCTGAATTAAGACCATCAGCACATTTGACATAAACCACGGGATAGTCAATGGAGCAATTTTGGGAGAAGTTAGGGCACCATCTAAAAATAAAGGTTCTGTACCCCATTACCAGTCAAATAAAATATAGAAGGTTTATTCAAGTAGCTTGTGCTGTTCTTAAAAATTATTTCAAAAATTAAGGCTGTGAAACTTGACATTTATAAACAATCTGAAACCAAGATATTTGATGCAACATTGTCAGACTGTCATTCTTTAAGAAGCCAACATTTTGTCTGTGTAACAAGAAGAACTAAACTGACATACAGAGTAAACTCCTCATTAATAAGTCTCTTTTAGAATGATTAATATAAGAGGAAACACTTTCTAATTAGGAATATGACTCCAGTAAACACATGGAAGGGAAATGCTATAGGCTTTTCCCAATATTTTAGTTGAAGATGCAGCCGAAAACTTACATTATAAAAAAAATTACTTTCACCACAAGTGTTTGCCTCATGCTTTGATAAGAGACCCATGTATAAAGGAATGCATATCACCTATAAACATGAATGTTTCTTAAGAACATAAGTCCAATTCCTCAAAGGTAAAGCAGTGTAGCTCTACTGACTTCAATGAATGTATGCTTATTTATACCAACTGAGGATCTTAGCCATGATACTTAAGAGTTAATAAAAATACACTGGGTAAAGCAAACAGGATTAGAAAGTACTTCTTGATTTCCTAGCCTCTGCTCTTCTTTAAGATAACCTGTGAAAGTGAAGGAAAGTATACTCATCATTACTTATATGCCCACTGTGATTCATACAAAATCAGTCATATTGAAATTCGTATCACAGAACATAGACAAAATGCAACTTCAAAAGCAAAACTTTCTAAAACAAATGTTTTCTAGAGACAACCCAGAAGTGTCAATCATTCTTCAAAGCTCTCATCACATCCCTTAATGCTCTGACCCTATTATATCTAGATAGCACAGGAGGTTATAAAATGTGATTTTACTGCTGTTATGGCTTGATTTTTGTTTGTAATGCTTCATATTGAGTTTTTTTTTTTAATTTATGCAAAGGGCACCAAAACTTTTGGATGGGCATTTTTTGGTTTAGAGTTTAAATTGAGAAGTTCACTTCTCAGCCCAACTGGGACCATTTAAGTGTTAACATTATTAAAACAAGGCAATTTCTTCTTTCTCCATCTTTTCACTTAAAAAAAATAGAAGAGCAAAGATATTTAAATAATGTTAAGATTACACAGTTAAAAGGTTAGAAATGCACAAGATTCTAACTGCAATATTTAACATGGCCACACTGCACATCTCCTATATTTGTATTAAATATATTAGCAGAAATATATCCAGCAAATATTTTTCAAGAAAAATAGGACTAGAAAGTTTAAGCAGCATGGGGTGCTGGGCCTCCAATATGTTAAAGCTGAGTGGCATCATTTTTTCATTTTGTCCAGTCCTACTAAGGTAGATGCAAAGATGACTCAGCACCTGAAAGAGATTGAGTTTTGGATGAGGCCTTACCCTTAAGTGTTCCTCTCCCACACTCCACTCAGTGCTTCCCTTGCCTAAATGAAACAGGGCAGGGTCCAGGGAGAGAGAGAAACAATTGGGGGTCTAGGACTGGAAGGAGCATCAGATGCCCTCTGGTGATGTTTGTCTTAAACTGCTTTTTGTTGTTTCATGCAATCTACTTCTGAAGCTCTCTCAGACAACCTGCTTAGCCTGGGCTCAAGATAATATTCCTCACCTCCCCACTGGCAACAGACCCACGTGTATTTTTGCAGTTAAGATCAGCGGAGCCACTCAACCTACAGCTCCCTTGATATAACAGCATTTTCCACGAACACCCCTCCACTATGGAACTTGATCTCGTCCTTGATCTGGAAGAGTCCAGATTTTCATCACTCCCCACACCCAAGAGACCGAAGGACAGGGAAATAATGGTCTTTGTTTTGGAAAGTTTTTAAATTTGGGATTATGGGAAGAGATAGGAAGTATGTTGATGTGCAGTCAGTTTATCTGATGTTATTGTAGTGGATTTTACAACATTGTGATTTTTTTATTATTGTTAAAGTGCCTGGAGGATTAAGATATTTTGAGGGGTTTTTTTTTTTAATGTTTTGTTTATAAATAAAAAAACATAGCAAAGGTAGCATTGCTCTAGGAATCTTTTCTGTTGTATATCCTGGCTTTTGTATAGTAACGATGCAACCTTATCGGTAAACTTTTAATACTAAGTGTTTAAGCAAAGAAGGAAGAGAGAAATTTCAACTTTAATTTTATTACCTTTGCTGCCGCCATGGCATGTTCAGATTTAATTGTTTTACTCTTGTTCTCGAAAGCATTTGCCCTGGCTTCTTCTGCTAATCGGTGGAGAAACAGTAAGAAGTTCAAATGCACCTTTGAAGAACAAAACATCAATGCAGTCAAATAGGTTTCCAACAAAATGCTTATACATTTATAATCATTTATACTGATTTAGCAAATACTTTATTTTTAAAAAGGCATCAACCCTTTAACGCAAAAGATGCAGCAAAGTATTTCGGAATTCCTGTGAAGGGTTTTTGGGAAAACTATTATCCAGCAAGAGTTTAATTTTCTATCCCTGAACATTTCTTGCCCCCAAAATTTCCTGCACACAGCTTCAATTTAGTCAATTTAGTCAAACTTTTTTTTAAAAGTGTCTATACTAAAAAAAGCCTCACACACACCCCCACAGGCATAATACTTGCTCCTACATAATATATTTTGGTGTTTCCCAACACTTTCCTAAAAACGTCCTATCTATGACTAGGAGTTACACCTTCTCATTCAAGCCATGTACTCATTTAGTTTGTCGGTAACTAAAAAAACCTGGATTTACTTTAGATTTTATGAATCATCCTTGAGCCCTCTCACTTTGAAAATAATTGTAGGTAAATATTCAGCACAGAGACAGTACGTCCTCACCCTCTCCAGGGAAGCAACGGCAAACAACTGTTTCGCGCCTTTTTCCTGGGTGAACAGTGTAGGCGCCATGCCACGGCAAGCATGGAGCCCGCTCAGCTCAAGACAGCAGTCATGAACATTGTAAACACCTCACGCGTTATCGTGCAGTTTATGCTGAACCAGAACCTGCAAAACCAGGTGGCGAGGAGTAGGCTACGGCAGCACAGCAGCGAGAGTGATGAGGACATGGAATTCTATCAAACTGCGGGCCCTGGCGCTTTGGAAATCATGCTGTTAATGGGGCAGGTTATAGCCATGGAACGCCGATTCTGGGCCCGCATAGTGTTGCAGGTGTGGGACAATTCCCAGTGGCTGCGAAACTTCCGCATGCGTAAGGGCACTTTCATGGAACTTTGTGACTTGCTTTCCCTTGCCCTGAAGCGCCAGAATACCAAGATGAGAGCAGCCCTCGCAGTTGAGAAGCGAGTGGTGATAGCCCTGTGGAAGCTTGCAACACCAGACAGCTACCGGTGTCAGTCAGGAATCAATTTGGAGTGGGCAAATCTACTGTGGGGGCTGCTGTGATGCAAGCAGCCAAAGCAATCACTGAGCTGCTGCTACGAAAGGTAGTGACTCTGGGAAATGTGCAGGTCATAGTGGATTTGCTGCAATGGGATTCCCTAACTGTGGTGGGGCGACAGATGGAACCCATATCCCTATCTTGGCACCGGAGCACCAGGACAGCCAGTACATAAACCGCAAGGGGTACTTTTCAGTGGTGCTGCAAGCACTGGTGGATCACAAGGGACGTTTCATCAACATCAACGTGGGCTGGCCAGGAAGGGTTCATGACCCTCGTGTCTTCAGGAACACTAATCTGTTTAAACGGCTGCAGCAAGGGACTTACTTCCCGGACCAGAAAAGAACCGTTGAGGATGTTGAAACGCCTATAGTTATCCTTGGAGACCCAGCCTACCCCTTAATGCCATGGCTCATGAAGCCATACACAGGCAGCCTGGACAGGAGTCAGGAGCGGTGTGCTCCACAATCTCTGTGAGAGTAAGGGGGAGACCTTTATGGCGGGGTGGGAGGCTGAGGCAAATTGCCTGGCTGCTGATTACGTGCAGCCAGGCACCAGGGTGATTAGAAGATCACACCAGGAAGCGCTGCGCATCAGAGAAGCTTTGAAACCACTTTCATGACTGGCCAGGCTACGGTGTGAAAGTTCTGTTTGTTGAAAACCTGCCCCCTTGATTGACTCGTTCCCTGTAAGCAAACCACCCTCCCCCCTTAAATCACAGCTTGCTTTTAAAGGAAATAAAGTCACTATCGTTTAAAAATCATGTATTCTTTATTAATTGATTATAAACATAGGAAGAGAACCGACAAGGTAACCTGGGTGAGGTTTGGGAAGAGGATAGGAGGGAAGTAAAAGGCCACTGAAAAAATTCAATATAATGACAGCCTTTTGGTTGGGCTCTCCACTGGGGTGGAGTGGGAGGGTGCACGAAGCCTCCCCCCCACGTTCTTACACGTCTGAGTGAGGAGGATATGGAACATGGTGAGGGGGGAGGGAGGTTATACAGCGGCTGCAGCGGCAGTCTGTTATCCTGCTGCCGTTCCTGAAGCTCCACCAGACCATGTCCGTTTGATCACGCAGCAGCCCCAGCGTTGCAGCCTGCCACCTCTCATCTCGAGCGTCCCTTATGACCTCACGTTCACTGGCATCTTTCCTGTATTTAGATACGGTGTCCTTCCACTCATTCAAATGAGCTCTTTCATTGCGGGTGCATTCCATTATTTCCGAGAACATCTCGTCTCGCGTCCTCTTTCTCCGCCGCCTTATCTGAGATAGCCTTCGTGACGGAGGAGGGAGGCTTGATAAATTTGCAGCTGCTGGAGGGAGGGTTGAAAAAAAAGGAGAGAATTTTTTAAAATGATACATTTTACAGAACAATGCTTATACTCTTTTATAGTGAACAACACTATTCACATTATATAGCACATGAGATTTCAGTACAAGGTCGCATTTTCCATCTTAATATTGAGTGCCTGTGGCTTTGGTGTTAAAGATCACAGACGCAGGTCCGGGCAACAGAATTCAGCTTGCATGCGGCCATGGTAAGCCATTGTCTTTCAGCTTCTGCGCCCTCCTTTCCCACATACCCAAGCAAAGCCCATTGACTGCTGCGGTTTTCCTGTTAACCTTCAGCAGCAGAAAACAAAGTAACCCCCCCCATCCAATTCTCTGGGATGATCGCTTTATCCCTCCCCCCACCGCGTGTCTGGTATCAGGGAAGATCCCTGCTAGCCAAACGCGAAAAGCTCAGGGCCAATTCTCCACCCTGCACTTGGCTAACTGCAGGGAAGGATTTATTTTCAGCCACAGGCAAACAGCCCAGTAGGAACAACCACCTCTGTCCCCTTAATTAAATTCCCGTATTTCAACCAGGTTACCATGAGCGATATCACTCTCCTGAGGATTACACAGCAAGATAAAGAACAGATGTTGCTTGAATACCAGCAAACACCGGGACCATACACTGCCAGGCTTTGTCATGCAATGATACCAGATTACTTGCTACTTGCTACTAGCATGGCGTGGTCAAGTGTCCTACCATGGAGGACGGAATAAGGCTGCACTGCCCAGAAACCTTGTGGCAAGTCTTTTGGAGTACCTCCAGGAGAGCTTCATGGAGATGTCCCTGGAGGATTTCCGCTCCATCCCCAGACACGTTAACAGACTTTTCCAGTAGCTGTACTGGCCGCGAATGCATCCCAAGTCCTCAGGGCAAAGTAATCATTAAAAAACGCTTGCTTTTAAAACAAGTTTTATATTTTAAAAGGTAAACTCACCTGAGGTCCCTTCCATGGGGTCATGGTCTTGGATACTGGCTTGGGAGGGTACTTTAGTCAGGCTGAGAAAAAGAACCTGGCTGTTGGGGAGAACGGAGTGCGGTGTGCTCTCTGCAAGCTTGTCGTCGTCCTCCTCTTCCCTGTCCGCAGAATCCTCAGGTGTAGCTGATGAGATTACCCCCGCCTCGGAATCCATGGTCAGAGGTGGGGTAGTGGTGGCGGCCCCCCCTAGAACTGCATGCAGCTCAGTGTAGAAGCGGCATGTCCGCGGTTCTGACCCAGAGCGACCGTTTGCCTCCTTTGCTTTTTGATAGGCTTGTCTGAGCTCCTTGACTTTCACGCGGCACTGATCTGAGTCCCTATCATGGCCTCTCTCCATCATGCCCTTGGAGTTTTTTTTCCAAAAGTTTTGGCATTTCGTCTTTTCGAACCAAGTTCTGCTAGCACTGAATCCTCTCCCTATATAGCGATCAGATCTAGTACCTCCCGTACGGTCCATGCTGGTGCTCTTTTTCGATTATTGGCCTGCATGGTTACCTGTGCTGATGAGTTATCCGTGGTCACCTGTGCTCTCCACGCTGGGCAAACAGGAAATAAAATTCAAGTGTTCGCGGGGCTTTTCCTGTCTACCTGGCCAGTGCATCCGAGTTCAGATTGCTGTCCAGAGTGGTCACAAGGGTGCACTGTGGGATAGCGCCTGGAGGCCAATACAATCAAATTGCAGCCACACTAACCCTAATTCGAAATGACAATATCGATTTTGACGCTACTCCGCTCATCGGGGTGGAGTACAGAAATCGATTTTAAGAGCCCTTTATTTCGAAATAAATGGCTTTGTTGTGTGGACAGGTGCAGGGTTAATTCGATTTAACGCTGCTAAATCCAAATTAAAGTCATAGTGTAGAGCAGGCCTAAGACTCATTTCCAATCCTGCAGTGCAAAGCAGCAGCACCTATCTCCTGGGTCAAAAGAAATGATCCCTCCCACCCTGTCCATATTGCAGATGACATTAATGGAGGAATAGTGCTCTGCTCCATCAATACTCAACCCTCAGGCTATGGCTACACTAGAGAGCTTGCAGCACTGTAGCTGGACTAACACAGCTGTGCCACTGTAAAGCTCTCCAACATAGCTGTTCTAAATTGAGGGGACAGAGCTCTCCCATAGGCTTAATTACTCTAGCCTCCGCGAGCAGTGGTAGCTATGTCAGTGGGAGAAGCTCTCTTGCTGACATAGTGCTGTCCACACCAGCGCTCAGGTCAGTGTAACTTATGTTGCTCAGGGAGTGGCTTTTTCACACCCTGAGTGACAAATTATATTGACAGAAGTGAGTGTAGACAATCTAACTTATGCTGGGAGTAGCATAAACAAACATACAGAATAAGGGAGCCATAACAGACTCCCTCAAATCCTCCTCTCCCCCCCTCCCCCCCATCATCTTGCACCAAACAGATCTCAACACAGGATGGAATATACCCCACTGATTAATGGAATAACCCCTATCAAAACAAATATCTTATTAAAGATTAACTTAAAATCATAAAATGCAAGTGCTAAACAGATGATTAAAAATTAATCTCTTGATAAATGTAGTGCCTCAGTTCTCAAAGGAAGGG